AAAAATGAACTTAAAATCACAGCAAGTGTTCATCGGCTTCTTGAAACAAAATACATGAGCGGAGGCAATATTTCATTTTTATAAAGATAACTGAGTAACTGGAAACTAGTCACAAAATATTGATATTTTTGTTATCATTAAAAAAATATACCAAGTATACGCAATCGTTATATTCCAAATTGGGTGACACGTAATTTCTAATGACAATATACAGGGGATGCCATTTTAAAATAAAATGTGGGGGTAGCTGCCAGAGAACTGTCAAATATAATGGATTTTTTATATGTCATTAGGAAGGTACTTTCTGTCAAATAAGCGAGATATTGCCTGTATACGATTACTTGTGACACCCGGTATATCTGAGACTTTTCAATACTTTGAAAACTATGTTTGATTGAAATTGTCAAATGCGTTATGTAGACAAAAACGCAGCAAAGAAAGTAGCAGCGGTTCAATATTTCAACAACACCATATCTCAATTAATCTAATTTATATAATAGTTCATAAGATTCCACACCAATTGAATATGAATTGATTGGTAGAATTAATGATACTAAGAGACTTTTGCTAAGCTATATCGATACCGCTTGCGCTGCTTGTTTTCGTGAGATACATTGGGAGGATCTACTGAAGAAGACTGTAGGTGAATTTATGCACACCGCTTTTTCATTATTCTGTTGGTTTCATTGACTGTCATTAGAGTTTATTTTTATTCTAGGACTATTCGCGAAAATCAGGAAGTGTGCGGCCTCTGGTGGCTAACTTTACAAGCCTTGCGAGTATGAACAACAAATATGGCGACCATTGTTTTGAGTTTCTGTGTTTTATTTGAAAATAATTTATTTGTTGAAGTGCATATTCCAGAACCTCATTTTTCCCTGATGAAAAAACTCGAATTATTGCATGAACTTTTATTGTTTACAATGAAGAAGCCAGTACCTACCTTATAATAATATAATATACATTTTCTGAAGCACAGTTAGAATCCTTGTATAAATGTTGGTTGCAATGATTTGATCTTGAGAATAACTCCAAGTCTTCAATTGCTGGAGATCCTTGTTTATGTAAATCGATGATATTGTTCATTTTGAGCAGCCTTTCCAATCATATCTTCTTTTCCCAGCAGCCCCTTTACTAGAATTCCATCTCCTTCATAAAAGCCAGTGATATTTCTTGATGAATTCAATTATTTCTTCATGCCTATTTGTAATAGCTGATTGCTTCCAGTCCATGCAAGTGTTGAGTGGACCATTCCGACCATTCCATATGTTTGAAAACTGTGGAATTGTAGTGTGATATCAATGATGAATACCACCATTATCCACATCCAAATAGCAATTTCTCTGCACAAAAAGTAATTTTTTCCATACTGGAAACCTTGTACGTATTTCACTCATTATTCACTATTTTGCAAAATGATTTCGAAATAACCAATTTGCAATGAGTGCATACGGCAATGTTTTTGTTGTTCATATTACTCAGTTTGAAATTTGACGTTGATTTGACGTTAAATAGAGCCATCTATTGGTTCGTGATTTTCGCGAATAATACTTTTATGCACCACCTTTTTTAAACTCTTCTTCTTGTTCAAAACATAGGCTTCAGCGTACTTAGCCTGATGAAAATATTTGTGTTATAACATTCATCAGTGATCATGCACATAATTAATCATTCATTCATATTGTCTAGAATTTTCAAAATCCGCCTTGTTACTCTGGTTTAACTTCAGAGACCAACATAACTAGAGAATGCCTAATATTAGCACTATTATGAGTGAATATGTCAAAAAAAATGTCATTATACGCATAGAATTACGTGCAAGAAATATTCATAATTTATAATAATATTATTTTTCTTTTTAACTCAAACATTAGGTACAAATTGACAACTATCCAATAAGCGATGAGGTATCAGTAGTTTTGAAAATGAAATTATTATTGATTAACTTTTGTATTTGGATGTATGATGAATTGATATTCATCATACAGGACGTGGAAAGAAATTCTGAATTGAGAAATAACCATTTTCAATTTGTTTTTCTCTGTAGAACAAGAATCCGTTGTGAAAAGATAGGGTTCCCATTTAAAAAAAATATTTCATCTCCCAGGGCCGCATGGGGGCCCTCGGGGGGGTGTGAGTAGGGTCATTCTTTGGCCCCCATTCAATCCTTCAACTTTTGTTGGAACCATTTTTTTGTTAGCGGCTTCCGGAAAGAATTATTATTCATAATAGATTAAAATAGTCCACCCTGTATAATTATCCGATGTCAATTCGTTATAGTTTCAGTTATATTATAGGGAGATGAAAATTGTGTATATTATGAAGAATGACTGAAAGAATAACTGGACTTCAGGTTACTGACAAGGATTTGATATCCGAAATGAGTTTTACTCGAGTTGAGTTATATTTTTATATTTTTATTTCATAATACATCATATCATTTCATCCGATTTGAGAGATGATGTAAATTCTCAATTTCATAGGATTCTCATTTTTCATGATCTCTTTTTGATGTTGAACAGATATAATTCGATGTTCGACGTGGCAAATAGCCAGGAAAGTAGTTGTTTTCTGTTGAATATTCAGAATAATATTATGTGAATGTAACATATCTTTATATGAAGAAGAATGCAAATTCTCTACTTCAGAAGATTTTGTTTTCAAATTCTTATCGTGTGTGTTCAATAGATGTAATTCAATATTCGTCTTGGCATATAGCCTGGAAAGTAGTTGTTTTGTGTTGAATAATCCAAGAAAGAATCGATATTTTCATGACATAGAGAATGCGAATTCTCAATGTATTTCTTTGTATACAGGGTGTCCCAGAACAACGTACATTAAATTCAACAGGGTGAACTAGAGTTCAAAATAGGTCGATTGGGACCAACTTACCTCTGTACGAAAATGCACCGTTGGGCCGTGAGAGGGCGATGAATGGATTTTTTTTTCAGATTTTATTGAATATTTCAAAATCCTTGAGAGGTAATGCTCTGAAATTTGAAAGGCAGTCAACTATAAGAAGTGTGCATAGATAACAGGTCTAATCAGTGCAATCGATATACAGGGAGATACAAATTTAGCAACATGATTGGAGAAAATCCATAGAACTTTTTTTGAGTACGCCACTGACAATATTTTGATATCTACTTGAATAACAAAATCAATGTCTATCTTTTTTCTCCCAACATTTTTTTCTGAATTTTGCTTGGTTTACGAGATATGTGAAAAAATTCTTTCGGAGTCCCTCCATATCATCCTTAGTCCAAGATATCAGAATTATCGTGTTCTCCAGGTTTCTTCCTCCTTCATGTTTATATTCTGGTCACGTATTCATGTTAATTATTTAATAACCTTTTCATTATACAGGATGGCCCATTTTCAACTTGACAGGGTGATTTTGGGTGATAATAGCGTAGATGCGAAAAAATGCTCAGATCGGTCGATTTTAGTTTGCACCTCCTGCTAACAATCAAAGGCGTTTGCAGGTTTTTTTCGTTCTGTTGAGAGTTCGGGAGCACAGATATCATATTCATTTCAGCAAGCTCTTCATCAGATGAGTTTATCAAATCAATAATTGAAAAATAAACTGAATATCAGAGACAAAGAATAATTATAATAATAATAAATAATGATAGGAATAATAATAATTTTCTATTCATCCTTCTTCGAATCAGAATCACTACACAAATTCAATACAGAAGGTATCCGATCTGAGCAGTTTCTCGTTTCTACGCTATTATCACCCAAAATCTCCCTGTCAAGTTGAAAATGGGCGATCCTGTATGATGAAAAGGTTATCAAATGATCAACATGAATCCGTGACCAAAATATCAACATGAAGGAGGGAGAAACCTGCAGATCACAATAACTCTGATATCTTGGACTATGGATGATATGGAGGGACTCCGAAAGAATTTTTTCAGATATTTCGTAAACCAAGCAACATTTAGAAAGTAATGTGGTGAGAAAAAAAAAGATAATTGATTTTGTTATTCAAGTAGATATTAAAATATAGCGCACTCAAAAAAAGTTCTATGGATTTTCTCCAATCAGAATGCTAAATTTGTATCTCCCTGTATATCGATTGCACTGATGAGACCTGTTATCTATGCACACTTCTCATAGTTGACTGCCTTCCAAATTTCAGAGCATTACCTCTCAAGGATTTTGAAATATTCAATAAAATCTGAAAAAAAAAATCCATTCATCGCCCTCTCACGGCCCAACGGTGCATTTTCGTACAAAGGTAAATTGGTCCCAATCGACCTATTTTGAACTCTAGTTCACCCTGTTGAATTAAATGTATGGGCGTGTACACCTTAGTAGAACTTTTAACTCAAACCATGTTTATAATGATCTTTTTATACATAGATAATGATTGACGACATAATTCGATCGAAAAATTAACTGGAATGTTTTATTTTTGGACATAAATAATAGAACTTACTGAAAACGGACCCTCTTATGACGTAGAAAACTCATCTCGCCATATTTCAAAGAAGATACCAAACGCCTGACGGAGACTGAGGCAACTGATATATTAATTCTTTCAACTGTGATCTCCCGCTAATTCACTCAGTCAGAAATCATGTATCATTCATCTCTGTCTGGAATAGTCTTGTTTCAGTATTAGGGTTTTGACGTCACATCATCGCCTCGTTTTCAGAGGTCCGAAAAATCGGGGATTTCAATAATTTTTCATGAAACGTAGGGAGCTCACAGCATGAAACGGTTTGCGGTGATGAGCTAGTTTGGGTGAGTTCTATAGAATTATGAAATAAAATGTTTCTGTGATACAAGCCCATTATATCTGAGAATAAAGATGAGATAAATTGGAAACCCTTGCTGCCCTTCATTTATAATGTTCCACTAGCAAACTGTGCCTGAACAGTATTATTGCATGGCATAATCTACCATTTGCCCTAGATGACTAACGGTGAAACAACACACGCTGAAAGATAAGATAAAAAGGTATATCACTTTATCTGTCGATACACTATAATATGCGATTTTAGGAATAGTAGGTACCCAAATAGAACAATGTTTCGTCAGGTGAATGAAATGATAAGTATAGTGAAGTAATTATTCAATTACCTAATAAAACAAGAGGCGTGTTCGTGGTGCAGATGTGAATTTTTTTTTTTTTTTTTCGACAAAGGTGAGTGGATCACGAATGTTTATTTTTCATGGCTAAAATTCGCCAAAAATAAGGTCATCGAACGATGAGAAACAATCAGAGAACATACTATATACTGTATAGAGGTCCTCCCTAAAAAGTCTTTAACGAAACTCCTGTTAGGTTCTGCCCAGGTTAAGGTAGAAGGATGACTAGACTTGCACAATTTGATTTATTCAGTATAAAATGTTGGTTTGTGATTTGATGATAATATAGTGACGAAATGAGATGTTGATACAATGCCGGTTGAAAAGTCAATCTACTCACGTCTGGACACCAGTGGATGGTTTCTGTCGCTGCTTCTCTTAACCAAAGCTGTTGCTGAAGATCTGGATGCTGATTTTCGGAAAATCACCAAATTCTTCTTGTAGCAAATCCTACCGACTGCGCCAATTTTGTTAGGTTCTGCCCAGGTTAAGGTAGAAGGATGAGTAGACTTGCACAATTTGATTCATTCAGTATAAAATGTTGGTTTGAGATTTAATGATAATATAGTGACAAAATGAGATGTTGATACAATGCCGGTTGGAAAGTCAATCTTGAAGTCGTATGCACTGGTGTCTTCCTCGCGTTCTTGCTTCATCAGCATGTTACCGCAGTACAATATTGCTTAGTTTGGGCTGAAGTTAAAATAGGCGAGTGAACTGATTTTTTTTTATTTCTAAAATAGAATCATCATTCAAATGCCTTTCAATTTCATATGTTTCAGGAACTTTTTGATCGATTTTCAGGTGCTAAAATCTTAAATAATGCCACAGTAATTGTTAAATGGCCAGAAATTTACCACCAGTAATAACTGACGCCATGATTTCGTAAGTATAGGCACCGAACATGTCTCTGTTTATGTTTGGTGGTATATCCATGGTGTTTCATTACTAAATGGAGATATTTCAACCATAGAATCCCGAACTCAAAATATGAATATTCAACCCAAATCACCTAGATAAAATATGTCTCCTGTCTGAGTTACAGGGTGTTTTATTCAAGAATTTTGAAACGTTTTTTGCCCAGTTCTTCAAAACTATTTGACGTATCACTTTCATATTCAAAGGGAATTGTAGGTATTATCCCTCCCAAATTCTACGCCACTGGCGGAATTGCAATTCAATCACAAATTTACGATTCTCCAACAATTTTGACGTATATATTGCACTCTTTCTCCATGGCGATAAAGTCATTATTTTTCGAGATGTTTCAAGTTAAACATAAATCTGCACAATCATTTTGATTCCAATGTGCATTAATTTTGTCAATATTTCGGATCAATGGATTGTATTAATCAATAAAATGAATCTTCAATCCATATTAACAATAAAAACATAATTACATAACAGACAGGAGCTGTTACAGGGTGTTTAATTATGTTATATATTAAAAAATTTAAAACTCCTTGTGACAGCTCCGGTCTGTTATGTTTTTATGTTAATATGGATTGATGTTTCATTTGATTGATGAATGCAGTCCATTGATCCAAAATATCGACATTATTGATACACATTAAAATCAAAATAATTGTGCTGCTTCATGTTTAACTTGAAATATCTCGAAAAATAATGACTTCATCGCCATAGAGATTGAGTACAATATCAACGTCAAAATTGTTGGAGAATCGGAAATTAGTGATTAGTGAATTGCAATTCCACCAGTGGCGTAAAATTTGGTAGCGATCAACCAGTTAATTGCTTCTGTCGTACGCCTCTGGTAATAGCTAGAAAAGTTCATTTCACATAATTCAGTTGTGTGTATGATACCCACACTTCCCTTCAAATATGAAAGTGATACGTCAAATGGTTTTGAAGAACTGGGCAAAAAACATTTCAAATTTTTTTAATAAAACACCCTGTAACTCAGAAAGGAGACATGTTTCATCTAGGTGATTTGGGTTAAATCTTCATATTTTGAGTTCGAAATTCTATGGTTGAAATATTTCCAATTAGTAATCAAACACCCTGTATAGGGGCAGACCATAGGACAGTTCTCATGTGTTGAAATACGATTGGGAACTTCAGAAATATAAGTCATTCGCAAATTCATCAATTCTCAATTGAGTATTGGTAATATTCCTAATTAGCAATAAAATTCATTTTTTGAAATGACATCATCATGAACTATATACTGAAAAACTACCAGCGAGTTAATTTTGAATTTTGTCATTCATGCTAAGACGATGGAAAAATAAAATTAGAATATGTCCATTTCAACACACACAATTCCTGCGCCATTTGAAATTTTGTCAATTCATTGGTGTGACTGGTGCGACGTCTTATTCCCAACACGCCTATTGTCCTTGAACTGACCAATCACACTGCAACACTGCAGAATGACGAGGTATCTGAGAGAGATAGCTACAGTTCGGGACTAATACGTCACGACTCCACCATCATATTTGGCTGTTTGAAATATCAAATGAAATATGCTGATTTCAAAACGATATAGATTCGATTCCCTTCAACTTCAACTCATAATATCGATTGTAGATCAAACCGTGAATCATGATTCGTCGATTGAAAGAGGTTTGCACAGATTTCTTCTCTCAGTGGTCTTCCCCAGACTTCACCCGGTAATTCAATGTTTGATGGGTTAGATCCCCATGATGGAGCTCGAGAAACGGGCACCCTGTATAGTATTATTACTGAATATTGAAAATAATAAAATGAATCATTTTGAATACATTTGGCTCAAAAAAATATAAACACTTTCTGAATCTATATTCTTCTTGTTTGATGCATCTGGACATAGATTAACGACTCCCCTGTCGTTAATCTATATGACCTGGATATTTCGATATAAAATGACCAGTCAAGAAATGAACTATATGTATGTATAAATCAAGGGAGTAAGTAATCAATAACACTTCTACTTGCATGAGTTCTAAGCTGGAATTTTTCATGAATACCTATAGTATGTGTACAGTGTACATACCAATGGACAATAAAATAATCAATAGAAAAAACACCGGAATACTTTTGAAACAAGGACGATAATATAAAACGGAAATGTTATGTTATCTATATACCTAAAATGAAAAAATATCGTGCATGTGTGTGGAACCGGATACACAGGGTGTTTAATTGGTCGAAAATGTGACCACTGTGGTTAGATATCTATTAGTAAATGATATCCATCATAAAAATTGTAGATATGATTTATATAATTATAATTCATATTATCTTATCTCGAGGTTGTTTGGTCTCCCGACGCGGAAGAGGGACATATATTGTGATATTTTTTCTACCTTTAGATATTATATATATACAGCGTGTCTCACTTTGAACGGCCCCCCTTTATAACTCAGTTATTAGTCATGCGATTTCAACCAAATTTGGTGTGGTATGAATAACCATCAATATCAGTTTTACAGAGATGCACACTATTTTGGACAGTGTCGTGCGTTTTTATTGAAATAAAAAGGGGTCGATTCTTCATAAAATCATATGAGGCAATTCTTCTACAGGAAATCTAACCCCATATTATTTTGTTCCTCTTGTTTTCAAACCCCCATATGCAAAAAATCACCTAATTCTGAATTAACAGGATTGGCTTAATTTTTTTCATTTTCAGTCTCGCATAAATAGTGACTTCAAATCAACTACGAATTTTGGAACGTTGAATGGCTCCGGTAGGTGAAAAATCATGATTTGGAAGGAAGAAGGAGTTATACTATTTTATGTTGAACTCACCATTTCCCAGTAAATAATTATTACGTTCGCAAAAATGCTGTTTAGATGTGCCTGTTTTTCTGAAACCCTTCATATGCATCTTATGAAAATCCACATATGTAGGTTTGAAACCATGAAGAATAATATTATGAGGTCAGTTTTCCTGCGGAAAAATGCCTAATATGATTCAATAAAAAATTGACCCCTATTTATTTCAATGAGAATGCACTGTCTAAAATGATGTTTGTCTCTGAAGAACTGGTCATATTATTGATTATTGAAAACTGTACTTACTTTTTTCCCATAGGAAAAAAGTGGTTTTATGCAAAGTGGCATTTTGTAACCTGTCAATAGAGATGAAATTTCAAATTTTTTTCCGTCACAGAAAAAATTATATTTTATAGATACCCTTTCTTCAACCTCCAACTCCATTTATCTCAGGAAAGAAGCAACTCCAGACATAAGTTCATGTAGGAATATATACAAGAACTTTTTTATTGCTTGTAACAACCTAACCGTGTTGTAGGTACCGTCGTTAGAAAACACCCTGTATAACAGTTTCAGAGAATTATATTTCAGTCTCGAACATGTACAACCATATGTTCCGTTTGCCGCATAAGTCAATTTTCGACCAAAAAATTGATGTGGAAGTCTTACAGAAATTACTAAAAGCAAAAACTCGACAAAAAATAAAAGAATTCCACTTAGTGACCACTGAAAAAAATTATAATTGGAAACGTTCTACCAAAAAATTTCACAAATAAGCAATTTTTGTATCTATAGAGGGCAATGTGAGATTTTTGTGGAGTCAGTTTTGTATTAAACGACACTTCATTGAATATAATATATATATTCTCATTTCCGGTCACTCTGTACATACATCATTATAATGTCACAATCATAGAGAAATAATTGATTTTCCTTGTAACACTTTAATCAATTTCACTGGACTCTACAAAATTATAATGGATAACATACCATTTGAATTAATAATAGTTTTTGAAAGCACTGGCTATCTTATCTTTCATAATGATATGATTTAATAATAATTTTGGATAATTGAATTAACAAAAAAATGAGCATAAATTGTGTGATGAATAAAATGTTTCTATGTCTCTCTCGAATTTATAATTCCTATATTTGAAACTTTTAGAATAAGCCTCTTTAAAATTCTGGTTGTATCAACACTATACAGATTCATTATCGAATCATTACATAAGTACAGGAGTATCAAGAAATGATGGTATTTGGCAACATCGCACCAGCTGAATCATGTTGCCATTCACATGCCCTAAATGTAACGTCTCGGCAAACAATCTGTAT